TGGGCAGGGTGTGTGCGAGGATTTTCACCAAGATGGAGACAGGATCATATATGCATTGTGTAAAGATGACTTTGTCACTTTGTCTGCACTGTATTTGAACACCCCTTTGAGTGACATGATTTAGGGAGGCCCTCTCAGAACTATTTTATAAAGCTAGACTCTGGTCAGGATGACCTCATATACTGATCTTTCCTTCAAAGTTTTAGATCTTTCCTTCAGATGCTTAAGCACTACTTTGGTAAATACTTTAACTACAAACTAAAGTGCATATAAGAAACACCATAATAAATCTTTATCCTGATGAAATCCAAGGTTAAATAGTTCTGTCATCCTCAGAGAGGGCAGAACAAGACAGAGGGCCAGGACAGCCCAGGTGCTGTTGATGTGACCTGTGCTGCTCCTGGCGAGAAGGGCTGGCTGAGTTTATTAGACCCACCTGCTCCTCTCACTTGAAAGAATGAGTGATGGCTATCAAGTCCTATGTTTCCAAGCCTCCAAGGAATGAAATCTAGAATTCCTTCAAAGTCAATATTGAATTGCCCTCATTATTACCAAATCATTCCTTATGATAATCGAATATATTTTTCTCACTCTCCTTTACATCTTTTTTCTGGTTGTATCTTCTTTTGAGAAGGCTGGCTGACAAGTCTTCTTATCAAAGCCTCTAATGTAATCAGTGCTAATAAATCATACGTAGCTTTCTCTTTTCTATCCCAAATGGCCCTTGCTCTTCAATGCACCTTCAAAGGTCCAATTTTCCAATCCATTGTACTTGATCTTTTATAAACAGTTTCCAGTGTTGCGCAGAATTCAATAACAGAAACCATGCGAAGGTTCTAGTGGTGGAATTATGTTCCAGACTTGAAAAGAGCAATTCTATGAATCTAAGCCAGTAACGCCACTATGTGTTTTGGATAATGCTGGATTCATAATTTTATTCTACTTGTACTCTGTCATAAATCCCCCTCTTTAAAATCACCGTAGACCTGGGAGTATGCACACCATGCCTGGAGGTAATACGTCAGAGGTGTCATCACATTTGAAAAGTGTTTTGCTCGCACTGTCATTTTGTGCTGCGGAAGCAGACACCGTTAGCAGCTACCAAGGTAACACGCCCCCTTCTTAGTCTTTGTTGCCAACACCCAACTTGTGTTCAACGACCTTTTCATGAGATGCTGACCTCCCCAGCCCCAGGGGGTGAATCTCTTTGAGTGTCAATCACACAGGGCATCCCCTCCTGGTGGTGACTGCGAGGATGAGCATATGACACAGCTCCAATAGGTGGAAAGTGAAGCAGTCAGCAGGGGTGGAGGTTCTGGATCCTTGTGTCTCTCAGAAAAGGTACCCAAGGAAGAGACGCTGTCTTCTTGCGTATTAGTATGGGAGGGCATGCTGTTTGGAGCTGCAACAACTATCCTGGAACATGAGGGGCTGAGTCTCAGAAATAAAAGCAAAGACCCTGAAGACAGCTGAGTGGAAACATGAAAAGCCCAGGAGCCCCTGATGACGGAATTTAGCCACTGAGTTAACCAGACTTGAGCTTCTTGTTAGGTGAGATAATAAATCCCTTTACTATTTAGTGTTTTCAAAGTGTGGACACAGACCAGCATCAGCAGCATTGCCTGGAAATTGTTAGGAACAGAAATTATCCGATCCTCCAATAGACCAGCTGAAAAAAGGCTGAAAAGTGGAGCCCGGCGACCTGTCTTAACAAGCCCTCCAGGTAATTTGGATATGACCTAAAGCTAGAGAACTACTGGTTTGAAGCTTGCAAGGGCCTGAATGTTTGTGTCTCCCCTCAAATTCACATGCTGAAGTCTTCACCCCCAAAGTGGTGGTATTAGGAGGTAGGGACTTTTTGAAGTGACAAAGGCAGGATGGGATTAGTTGCCTTATAAAGAGACTGCAGAGAGCTGGCTCACCCCTCCCACCACTGGAGGACGTATTAGTCCATTTGTGTTGCTTATAACAAAATACTTGGAACTGGTTAATTTATAAAGAAAATGAAATTTACTGCTTACAGTTTCTGAGGCTGGGAAATCCAAAGTCTGTCTAGTGGTGGTGACAGTGACCTAGGGGTCTCACATTGCAAGATGGTGGAAACAAAGAAGGCAGAGAGAAAGACAGACAGACTGTCCTCTTCTTTTACAGCCCTCAGAACCACACCCCTAACCACCATTATTCATCCATTCACTATGGCACGGTCCTACAATCTAATCACCTCTTCAAGGCTGCACCTTTCAACTGCCATAATAGGATTTCCCACCTTCTTAACAGTCATAGTGGAGGCCAGGTTTCTAATAAGTAAAACTTGGGGGCACAAAATTCAGCCACCACAATTCAAGGAGTTTTGGGGGGACATAATTCAATCCACTACAGAGGACATACCAAGATGGGGCTCAGAATGTGGCCTTCAGCAGACAATGGATCATTGGCACCTTGTCCTTGGATTTCCCAGCCTCTAGAACTGTGAGAAATACATTTCTGTTGTGTTCAAGCCACCCAGTCTATGGTATTTGTCACAGCAGCCCAAACCTATTAGGAGCCATTGAATTGGGATTTCTATTAGTTCCAACTAAATACATCCTAATTAATATAACTACTTTCTTATATTTTGTGTGCCTTTTCTTGAAAAGTCTATCAATCCATGTGATGTTCTTCCTTTATGTCGACGTCACCCGAGAATTAATGTCATGGATAGGAAGGTCTGGAGAGGCAGGAGGGTATTGTACATTCCCTGATGGGAGGTTCAGGGCCCCAGGTAGGCCAGCCAAGAGTTGGGGCATGTTTCTTGAGGTACAAGTAATTTTGGTAAAAAATCAGGGCTTTTGAAGTTCCTAGGTGAAAGGAGAGGATTCTGAAATAGAGAAAAAAGAAACTCAGGGGGTGCAGACTCAGCTTGGGTCAGAGGAACCCAGTGTCTAAAATAGGACAGAGAATGTCCACCTGCAGTGGAGGAGTTGGGGCATGTTTCTTGAGGTACAAGTAATTTTGGTAAAAAAATCAGGGCTTTTGAAGTTCCTAGGTGAAAGGAGAGGATTCTGAAATAGAGAAAAAAGAAACTCAGGGGGTGCAGGTTCAGCTTGGGTCAGAGGAACCCAGTGTCTAAAATAGGACAGAGAATGTCCACCTGCAGTGGAAAGGCCACGAGTCGCCTGAGAGCTCAGGTCAATCCAAGGAAAGCGGGACCAGCATGAAATTAAGGAGGCGCCAATGATAAGCATACGGGAAGCCACCAAACTGCTATTTAGGGTTATGTGGAACTGTGGGGGGAAAACAGGCTGAAGAGACAAGAGGAGAAACCCAGCTGGAGGAGTTGAGATGTAAAAGGAGCTCCTAACGGGGTGTTCAGTGTTTTCACGCTGCCCACTGCACGGGGCTGCGTGGGGATGTCACACGTGGACCACGGCCTGCACAAGGCTCGTGAACGTCATATTCCACTCACTCCTGCAATTTGAAGATGTGTGGAGAAGCTGTGCCCCTGGGGCAAGGACAGGGGAGAGAGACTGCATGCTTTTGAAGGAATTATTGCCCCTCTCTGTCCTTTAATTGGTGACATCCAGAAGTTGCCATAACAGATAAATGATGCCAGCTTTACTCAAATCTAGTACACCTGGTCAACTCAGTTGCACGCACACATCCGCCTGATCTGTTAAGCCATATTCAGCGTAGGTTGGAGGAAGGACTAGCTACGATCCTGCAGGGCAGCTCGAAGACTGGACTCGAATATTCTGACAGTACCAGGAGCCAACATGCATCTCCCACACACCAAAGGCTGAGGCCGCCATGGGTCAGAGTCAAACTCCCCCAGGATCAGTGCAGCGGGGCCGTCCTTCATCTCATCCTGTCACGTGACACTTGGTGTTCTTCCAAATGTTTCTAAATTGGCTTTGAGTAGATCTTTCCAGCATCTGTGGACCTCTGACCCAACTTCACCTCCACACTTTATCTACATCTGCTCTTTTGGGTAAGCACATCTGCCCGTTCCTGCCATGTCCAGCTCTACCGGGATGACAGGCAGCATCTGTCCTTCCATAGTTAAACGATTTTCAGGGGTCGGGTATCCAGACCCGCAGATCCCACCTCCTGCTCTGTGTGACAAACAGGCTCCCTCAGGGCTGTCCAGCCAGGCACAGACAGGGGAGTGGGGCCACTGCTACACCATCCCAAGTTCCCACCACCACAGGCAGACTTAAAAACTGTCGCTTAAAAATCACCCTCCAAATTGCTCTGATTTTATATTTGTTTGAAATAGATGACACATGGTATTACATGACTGTAATTTTAGGGCAAAGTGGATGTACGGAAAAATGATTTCTAGCAAGGAGGTAAAATTGTCCTTCATAAAAATCAAGAGGCATCAATTTTTATATTTTCTGCCTCCTAAATTGCACCTCGTGGGTCTGGTGGTTTTACCTGGCATTCTTGACGTATATATTGGTGCTGGCGCTGGTGCCAGCCTGCGCTGCTGGTGACTCCCGGTCCTGCCACTCATGGCCTGTGGGCCCTCGGGCAAGCCATTTAACCTCTGTGCCCCAGTCTCCTCATCTGTACAATGAGAATGGCCATTCCTTCCGCCTGAAGTTGTTATGAGCTGTGGAGAAGTTAATATTTGTAAAGCACTTAGAATAACATCCAGCGTAGGAAAGGACTCATGTTTTGTAGAATATAAAATGTTCTTTTTTGTTCTCTTAACACACTTATTTTTCATAAGTTTTGTGATTTGAGAGATACCTTCTGGTTTCCTTTGTAAAGCACTTAGAATAACATCCAGCGTAGGAAAGGACTCATGTTTTGTAGAATATAAAATGTTCTTTTCTGTTCTCTTAACACACTTATTTTTCATAAGTTTTGTGATTTGAGAGATACCTTCTGGTTTCCTTTTAAAATTTAAAAGGTGTCAACATATTTTTAGGAGCCTAATATTTACTCATTTACTTCAAACCTCCAGGAGCAGATTAGCTTAGAATCCATGCAGAAAACATTTCCTCAATGCAGTATTCATTTCATAAATAATGTATTTTATTTTATTGCATATGGCTATTAAGGAGGGCATCCATGATCAATACAGACTAAATACAATGCACTATTCTAGTCCAGTTTATTCTTGTCTCCCGCAGCGTCACGTCGACCCCTATATACAGCGTGTAAGTGGAAGACACAGCAAGATAAGTTAAGTCTCTTGTCATATCACAATAGCAAGAAATATATTTAACATCTTGATATCCAGAAACAATACGTACCCAAAAAGAAAACACTGTTTAATAACTGTTAAAGTTTATATAGCAAAAAATATTTTAAATTTAAGGTAAGTCAGGCAAAATGTACAAAGACCCAATATACATCGTGAAGTTTTAGCAAACATAACATTTATACATTTTGGTTCCATTCTGTAAACTAAATTAAAAATGTAAATATTGCATATGCCTTTTTTTCTTTTGAAATGTATAGGATAGAGGAAAATTTAGTACTTGATCCATTTTTTGCTTGCTCTAAATTGCAGTGTGAACATGAACCACTTGGGTAGTGTCATGGCTACTCTAAGCATAGAAGGCTAGTAAATATATGTCAATACACTGTGTTCGGCAGGGTCCATGTTCAGTCCTATTGTATGTATCTGGGGGAGTTATAGAGCAAATACCACCCACCCACGCCTATTCCCAAAACTAAATAAAGTCTTTAGGACACTGTATACACCTTAATAAAGTATATCATACACTGAAATTGACCTTCAAACTAACATTGTATGGCCTATGCACTGCTGTGATGTGTAATTTCAGAAAAGTAAAACCTTAAAAATGTTCAGGGGATCACTTTACATTCAACTTCGTCTTGCAATACAATCTTCTGTTCTAAAAGTTCAGCATGGACGCAGGAAGACTTCTGCATTGCCACTAAATATATTTTTAACACATTGAAGTTTTTGGTCTTCCTCTAAAAAAGCCTCATTGTATTAATGCATTATTCTATAGTGATATATATCTATATATTTATATATTTTTTTCTGCAAAGAACAAAACAAAACAAAAAACCAACAACTCACATCCCCGATGAATTAGTGTAACCTCTACATGACTATCAGAGAAGACAGGCACTGGGTGCACCGCGGGAGGAAGGGTCAGCCCTCCAAGCACGTGCCAGGGAGCAGCAGCAGGATGACAACATTCTGCTGGTCAAGTTCAGCAGTTTTAGGGTGCCATCTGTGATAATCGCCACAACACTGATATTTTCAGAACACTGAAAACATAAAACAAGGGCAGTCTTGTCAGGAATTGTTTCGACAAGTGACATGTACCGAGAGATTGGTTTCTCCTTCTTTTTCCATTAATAGCACAGAGGCCAGAATGCCTCTCTTTTGTTAGTTTCTTTCTTTTCTGTTTTGTCTTTTTTTGTTCAGGACAGCCTCCTTGGCCAACACAATAGCATTATATTAAAGATACTTTTTAAATGCAATCAGCCAGACCTGGACCACCCTTGAACTGCTAGCATGCCTACGTGAATTTTTGGTTAAAGAAACGCAAGCCCAAGATCAGGGGCAGCAGAGACGTTGAGCTTGTAGATACGATAAAAGGCTCTTGCAATTTGAAGTTCCTACATAAACATCTACATAAGAGATTAAACAAGTCTGTTAAAGGTAAAAAGAGATATTCATTCCCTTCCCAAATCCCTTCCCTCCCATCCCCTACTTAATACAGTTGATGATTTTCAAAAGTAGGTTGCTTCGGTTACATATCATAGTTATTATTTATTAATCTGTCTTCAAAGTCCAATCCCAGATTTCACATCTGTGAGAAACGTCAGTCTCACAATGGGCTCTGTGTGTGGTCAACGTCGCAGGTACCTGGGTGGGAGTCCCACAGCAGTTCCTGCTTGGAACCAGCTCAGTGAGGCCGATGACCGAGCTTCCGACACTCAGGGCAGAGCCGCGTGGGAGGTCCTGCCGTACCCACCCCGCAAATCTGGCTTTACCTTGAACTGAGGTAGGACTGTGGTAGGTTTGAGCGTATGCCAGCAAATACCAGATTTTACCACTTTAATAGGTATTGGTAGAATCTCCTAGCATGCTGAGGGATAAATTTGCTTTGCCAAAATGGAAATAAGGAGAAATTAAGACACTGGCCACCATTTAAGAGGGCCAATGAAAATACCCAGTTTTCTTGAGAACGACTTCAACTGATTTTGTTAAAAAAACAAAACAAAACACAACACAAATAGCACAATGATGACTGCCCCGCATGGAACAAGGGGAGGCAGGTGATCCTGCCTCACTGGCTCCTTGTCCTGATGCAGTCACAGATGTTTCACGATGTTGTCACTGCTCAGATCCAAAAGAAAACTGCAAGCAGCTTCAGGCTGAAAAAAATGCCGAGCATCTCCTTTTTATGATATTCTCTGATAGGAAACATCCTGGTGATAAAGCCACACAGGTCTTCACTCTGAAAGAGAAGGGAGGGATGTCAGAAGGGACGCTCATAAGAGCAACCTCTGCCGTTCTAGAAAAGGCCCCTCTCAGCCCACATTTATGATCTGCGTCATTTTCATGAAATGATGCACTTTGAGAAGCAAATATTTACTCATTTCGTTTTCCAGAAACATGTTCGACGGGTAAATTCTGATTCACTTTTCCTGGAAGCAGAGCTATGAAGCTCATAGTGAGTTGTCTGTACAGTGAGGCTTGAGAATTTCAATTTAAGACAAAATATTCAGGCGTGCTTTTGTGAATCAATTTGTCAAACAAGATGTGAAGTACGGAGACATGGTTTCAGCCTTCACGCTGAGTATGTGTGAGACCTGGGACCCCACCTCTAACTCCCCAGGACTTGGTCCTTCCTGTGTACTGTGGGTTAGTAAAAACACTGCCTTCCTCATAGAGCTGCCCAAAAGATCGAAATCCATGACACACGTTAAAGTGCCCTGTAAACCACGTTTATTCTACAAATGTGTATTACGTGAAGAAAGAGGTATTAACAAGCCCACACTTCTGCCTTCAGAACACTCTTCCAGTTGGATAATCTAGCCTTTTCCTAAAAGCACCCAAGATGTAGAAACTCCTGCAGTGACACACTTGTTGTTACACACACCTCAACATTAGGAAAGCCTTCTCTTTATCTACCCAACTTTCATATGTTCCCGTTTAAGTGATTTGTTCTTATGCTGAGCTCACAGGGAACAGGGAGTGAGATTGCTTCCTGCCTTCCAGGTTGAAGGACCAAACTTCTTTAACCTGTCGACATGTTCCTCTTCAAGGGACAGAACAACGTGGAAGATTTTCACATTGCATAGCATGGTACTTTTTAATTTTTTTTTCAAGCTTCCTGGCTTTTTAACCAAAATGACACATTGTGAATTTTCGTCACTCACCACGACATAGCTCTGCAGTGAAAAACTCAAGAGCAGTTGGTCTTTTTTTTTTTTTTTTTTAAAGATGACCAGTAAGGGGATCTTAACCCCTGAGTTGGTGTTGTCAGCACCACGCTCTGCCAAGTGAGCTGACCAGCCATCCCTATATAGGGATCCCAGCCCATGGCCTTGTGGTTATCAGCACCACACTCTCCCAAGTGAGCCACAGGCCTACCCTAAGAGCTATTGGTCTTAAATAGGCAAAATTTCCTTTCCAGTTGCATTTACACAAATTGCATTTGTGGACATTCCTCTAAAATTATTTAGAATTTTGATGCTAGGCTCTTACCACACTCCCTGGTTTACGTGTTTGTGAGTTTATGTGTTTACATGTTTGTCAGTCTATCCAACTGGAGTTCAGAGGACTGATCTCAGCAGGAGAGAAACTTCCAGGGTGTCCTGAAACTGAGCAAGAGTGAAAACCGTGCCCTGACATGAACTTGAGGCTCTACATCCAATAGCAAGAAAAACAAAAGCCTGTGCAGCGTGCTTGTCAAGGTACAAGGTAAATACTGTATTTCTTCCTGTGTCATTTTAAAAGTTTCCTACAATGGGACATTTTGAGGCTGTGCTACTTTATCTTATTATTTTAAAGAAGCTTCAAGTCCTTTAAAAATTTAACAGGTAAACAATGTTCTGCAAGAAACAAGGGAAAACGAGGCCCCAAATTTCCTAAGATCCGTATTCCAGCTATTTCATTCATTACTGCTGTGATTTTTAATCCCAAGAGACTGCAGTAAGAACCTAATTGTTTGCATCCCTTAAAAGGCAGGCATTTGCTAAAATCCACCTGGACTTGTGTTTCACCCTAAAATGAGTTTGCTTTCTATCACTCATGCCCTGATTGTGAGAGGAATCCATGGCCACCCCAGAGCAAGTACTTAAGACCCTGTGAATCCACTTACAGAATGATTTCTAATCAAAGTTTATTTTACTTTTATGCTAACAATTAGCTAAATGTGGCTAAATTGTCTCGTGTGAACTCTACGCACGTTATCTTGAAAACAGCTAAGCCAGTAAGTTCTGCATTTTCTCTAAGTTAAGCACATAGTCACACAAGTGGAGTGTTAACTGTTGCTGAAAAAATTACTTTCCATTTGCACTTGTGAATTCATGGGGCCACTGACATTTTCACTGTTTTTAAGGATGCTGTTTTGCTGTGAAACCTAACTCTTAATCATTGATCTTTGTGAGCTCTAATTAAATTGAACATGTAATTATTTTATTTTGAAGAACGATACAGTTATCAAAACCTTAATCTCTAAGCATTGCCATTATGTGAGAGAGAGGATGGAAAACAGCAAGGAAGAATCCACCCCTGCATTTATTCATGCAATGACCTTTCGACAATTATCTCTTTCTTTTTTAATTCTACTCTGAATTAGGTGCAGAGCCTTATTGGTGACTTGGAGGAAGGAGGCTGACCAAATAAATAAATAAATAAAGAGTTATTATGGGAAGATGGGTCTGTTCACAGCACATGTGAAGGGTCCCAGAAGGCTTAGGCCAGGGAGACCAGAAACAGGCTGGCCACCTGCTCAGAGGTGAGTGCACGGGCCTGAAACGTGCGTGCATCAGACACATCACCTTTATACATGTGTGGTAGAGCCGACGCAATGAGGTGGACCTCGCCTCCTATTAGGTTGAAAGCAACTGCTTTCTAGGGTGCCTCCTGTCATAGTAAAGGAGCTGAGACCATTAGGTCTCCATGTGGACTATGGGACTTTGGTTCTCTGCAGCCTGTGGGTGCAGATCAGCGGGCTGAGCACTGACTTGCTCAGAGACCCGCTTCTATGTGGCTGCAGCTTACTGGGGACACAGTCTGAGATCCCTGGAAGCACTCGCACACCCATGCACAGAAGTGGCCATCAGAAACACTCCTTCTATACAGGTGCAAAAGAAAGGGGGCAAGGAAAAGGCTGGTGGTACACCTTTGATTGGATCCAGATGACCAGGACCTGCTGAGCCACACCAGAAAGGTTTGGATAAAACAGAGACCTAAGAAACAAAAATACTAAGAATGCATGTAGGGAAAAATGGGATTCGCTCTAGAAACCTATCTATATATATTTTTTTCATTTGTTAAAAGAAGGCCTGAGACAGAAGCTGTCTGCCCCAACTGATATCTAAAACACCCTTTTCCAATGTGAGCAGCTGATAAAATCTTTGTCTCAAGTGCTAGCAAAAGCCCTGAACCAGCATCAGCAAGGGAGAATGGCTGTGGACAGCCACCTGAGCTACAATCTCCCCAGCAGGCTCCCCGCAGTCCAGGCAGAGGCTTCAGACACCAAATACAAGCATCGCTACCCCTGGCAGACACCTTCCACCTGACAGCCACTGACCATCAATGTCACTCCTCTGCCCCAGGAAGAAGGAAGACAGGTAGGAGCTGGAGAATCCTCTTGCAGATTTGAACCTAGGAATGTGAGCACACTTTTGCCTTTTATTGATTTACTTTTAAAGCAGGTTATCACTCCACCTGAAAATTAGTCTGGTTCATCCAAACTAGGAAAAAAGAAAAAACTTTCTAACATTACTAATCTGATATCCTTGACCTTTAAATATTTATGGTTCCTAAGGAAAAGATTCCAGCAAAAATGTATTTATTTCATCATCTATGTTGATTCTACTAAAAGCAAAGAACAATTTATTAATTTTATGGCTATTCTCTTCTAAATATTCATTAAGAAGGGAGACACTCTTCAAACTCATCGGGTGCAATGACAAAACAAAAAAGAAACACAATATGGATCACGCTGTTGCTAATGAGCACGGCCACAGAACAACATACGCCCACTCTGCTCCTAGAGGTAACGCTCATTAAAAAAAATGTGACTATATTGATGCTCGTTGGATTCGTCATGTGAGTACATGCTGCATTGCTCTGTCCATTACACACTGCTGTGTAAAGAAACCCAGACACAGAAGCACCCACCTAGTTACTTGAGTAAACATACAAACAAAAACCAAAAACACCACTTTTAGCAAAGAAAGAAGTTGTTCCCCACGACATGTCATGTGATCCTCCTATTCCCCATGTCCTTTCTGCTGTCACTTGTGACAAACGACAATCATATGTGGAAGACAGTCCCAGGGGCCAGTCATCAGAACTCCCTGTGGACGAGCTGTAATCCCACCCTGTTCTCTTCCCTCACCAGAGCAATCGGCGTGCACATGAGCACGCGTGGGTCACTGCCTTCAGTCTGCTCCACTGCACCCACCCCCAACAAGAGCAAGAAAAAGAAAAACCGAAAGAAAAAGAAAACAGACAGATTACTGAAAAATTCTGTTATTAAAACAAGTAGGAGAGGGCTGGTCAGATAGCTCAATTGGTTAGAGCGCAGTGTCACAACACCAAGGTCAAGGGTCAAGGTCCCCTTACCAGCCAGATGCCACAAACAAACAAAACAAGCAGGGGAGCTTCCTCAGGATATGTGGAACAAATGTCACACCACCAGTGAGGGGGTACCGTGATTACAACTACTTCAGAAAACTGAAGTGAGCATCAAGCCTAGAATGCTTAAGAAATAAGATAAATTTGCTCCAGCAAATAAAATCAGGCAGCATTTTAGGTGTCCATTCTGACTTGTCACTACTTCCACCGTTGTGCGTTCTCATGAGAATTTGGGTTTGGACTTGTTTGACGTCAAAGCCTTATTTCAGTGTTCAGAGCCCAGCACGTACACCTGGGTTGTGGCACGTAGGGCCCCACGCAGGCGCCGTGGCACAGCTGAAGGAAACACAAGCCTCCGGTGAGCGACACTAACGGCAAATTCACTGAAAAGGTGAAAATGCTTCAATGGTTTTAGGCAGACCTCAAAGAGGAGTGTTACAAGTATTTATTTGCATGACAAAATGAAACAGAATACTTCTAAAAGTTAAATTTCAAATTTCTAGTACCAGATATAATTTAGAAAGAAATCAACCCTCTGGTGACTTCAAACACATCTTTCAGGCACATCTTAGTGCCCAGGTTAGATCTTTTATGTTAAACACAGAATTACAAGGGAAAATAATCTTTTCAGTTACAGGAGAA